GACAGCTTCGTAACATGTTACGAAGGCACCAAATCTAAATGTTCAAATGGATGCTAAATTCGAATTCAGCTCCAAAAACTAGCCAAGAAACATGTGAAACTCGAAAAGTGAACCGAGGTCATCAAAGGTCAATGACCTGACCTTCAGGTGACCTTGACATCCACCCTAATGCATTGGACCAACATCATATCACATGATTTAAAGGAAGACTGCCACCTTCAAAAAGTTTTCTCAGATCGGCCTATGATTTATTGCCTGGACAAAACAAAATTTTAAAATTCACCTGACAAAGTATCATCACGTGAATCGCGAAAAAAATTGTCGATTATCATACAATTATCAATCGGTTAATGTCTAGCGACCACTGGCGGTCGCAGGGGGGGGGGGCACGGGGGCCATGGCCCCCCCTTTGGTGCTGAAAGGTGGGGCCATACTATCTTTTGGCCCCACCTTTCAGATCGAACAAAAGTCCTAGAAAAGCTTTTCGTATGTTTCATTTTCTTTCTTGCGCCATCAAAGGACGTAAATTTCACTCATGAGTGGGCTCAGTTTCGCATTCTGTCAATTTGGCGGTCAGCGTCGCTGGCACCGGTTCACGAGTATGGCCGGATCTTATATGGAATATCAGCGTGGGTTTACTTGAGGCTCTCGTAGGCCCAGCATTCAGCAATGGCTGGCATGAGACCCTCTTCGGCAGTGGCGGGTGGGCCCTGCTAAAGGAGATTGGCTCCAAGACACTAAAGTAAGACCTCATGGGTTGGTGCTGTGCACCTCAGAAGCCCGGTGGTGACGCCGTATGCCGGCTTGGTTTCTTAAGGATTAGCGTGGGACCTCCGGGGCCTGCATAGAGTTTGCATGAGCTAGTATGTAATCTCAGAGGCATGCGTGTAATGTGTACACAGTGGCGGTCGCGGGGGCCGGGGGGGGGGGCATCAGGGCCATGCCCCCAAAGGTCAATAAAGGGGGCCATCATATCATTTGCCCCCCCCCCCCCTCAAACAACCAATGGGCCCCATATAGGTGTATGGGGCCCTGGCAATTATTCGATCGTCACGAGGCTAAAAAAACCCACGCCCAGCTATTAATATAGCTCCCACACCGGTCTTTGAACGTCCTACACTGACCTCTGAGGGAACTTCAGTGGCGGTCAAGCGCCCACGTTGACCGCTAAGAGCCTACATCAACCTCTGAGGCCCCACATCTGGCCTATGAGGGCCCCTAACCGGCCTCAGGGGTCCCAACCGGCGTCTGAGGGTCTCACACCGGTCTCTGGTGGCCTTATTTCTGTCTCTGGTGTCCCAAGACGAACCTTTAGGTGCCAATAAGGGCCCCGCACTGGCTGCTGAAGACCCGATGCCGGCCTCTAAGGGTCTGCATTGGCCTCTGAGGAGGGCCCATCTTGGCCTTTGAGGGCCCTCTGCTGGCCTCTGGGGTCCAACGACGGCTCATGCCGGTCTTTTAGGGCCCCACGCTGACCTGAGACCTCTGAGGGCCCATGCTGGCCTGTAATGAGTAAGGACCCACATTAGCCTCTGAGAGCCCAACTTGGTCTCTGATGGTCTAAAACTACTGGCCTTTGTAGTTTGCAGGCCCTGTACTGGTCTCTGAGGGCCCTAAACTAGCCTCTACATGAAAACATACATGGGTGGGTTTCTGAAGATCAGAGGGCTCACACAGTCTCCGGCACAGCCTTACGTTGGTCCTGATCGAGATTGCTTTACGTCCTGATGGTCCCGCGCTGATTCCCTCATATTTCGAGGTCGGGACCCCATGAGCCGGTGTGGGTCCTGGGGCTGGCAGAGACTGATGAAGTCCTTAGGGCTCAGGGCCAGTCTTTTTAGCAGTAGGACTAGGCAGGTTGAGTGAGCCCCAACAGAGCCGTTGCGAAGCCCCGCAGGAGTCGCGCGCGGCCCTCAGATGCCAATTCTGAAAGCTCGGAACCTGTGGGGGTCTCCAGAGGCCGGTGTACCTACTCTCTCCCACCGCCACACAACTAGGTACCTATATGGGTAAATGTCATAGTCTAAAAATGCTCTCTGGGTTTCACATGCTTGTTCAAAGCAAGAGGTATCTGTACTTTTTAGCAAGATGTATCTGTACTTTTCCGAATTGTTTTATAGTGGTAAGGTCATGAATCCGCGTGCCTGACCTTCCAGTATACCTATGCTACAACGATCCGTCGTCATGGACGGTGCAGCGGCCCGACCGGTGGGCACACCGTGAGACGGTAAATGGAACTGGCGATTTTGCCTTAAATTGAGCTCAAAGATTTCACGCAAGAATGAGATGGATGAAGCATAAGTAATGCCAACTGTGCGGCGCCTCGTGGACGTAAAAAATTAGCCGATCACCCCCCCCCCCCTCCCGGTGACGGATAAATGTTATGTCCCGCGAGTGTGACTTTGGCCCCCCCTTTTGCTAGCGGCTGCGACCGCCAGTGCTAGCGACAATGTTTACACATCACTAGACTTCAAGGTCATAAGATTATTACATTTTATTTGAAAAAGTAAGGTATTTTATGATTTACTAATATATGATTTCATAAGAAATTGGCCATGTTTAATTTATTTTGCATTTAAGTTCGTAAAACATTTAAAAATCATGGCTCATTTGGAATGGGTCTGGCCCATGTTAAACCCCATTTCCCACACTTTTTTGGAAAAAATGAACTACTGAATATATAAGTTTAACTTTTATTTTGACACTCCAAAATTCTTCTCTGATCTCGAAACAATCAAAGTTTTGACATATATTTACCAAAAGATAAGAAAATTCATGTTTCAAAGTTATCGATAAACAGTAGAGATGTCGGTTATCTTGGACTAAAAAAATGGCATCAAACTGAACTTTGGTCTCCGATTTCTCGCAAACGGGTTCGAATTTCGGAAAACCGACTTCAGTCTGGGACATAGGTGGCTCAGCTCTAGTGAAAACCGTTTTGTGGAAAAAAGGTGGCAGTCTACCTTTAACACTTGAAACCACGAAATGACGGCAAACGCGCGGCTAATGCGAGCCGACATACTCCAAATCGCGAGTCTGGCCAAACATGGTTTCGGGAAATAGGTCACATGTCAAAGGTCATTGGAGTCAGGGTCATGAAATTTTCAGGGTATGTGTAAAATTGATCAACTCGAGGGTACTGAAATTTTCGTCGCGATTGCCGCTTTTTACGCGAGTTATTCGCGAAAACCTAGGGGGTCCATTCGCCCCCCCCCCCCTATACAGGCGAGGGTTAAAGGAAGGGTGCCACCTTTTGGACACAACGCAGTTTTTACAAGATTAGCCTCACATGAACCTAAAAACCGGCTTCACTTACCTATGCTCGAGACGGTCAGCATTGAATCCGCACGTGAAGTTATCATTTGCGAGTTTTGCTGCCAGCATTCGGGCAGGCAAAAATCTTCAGCACTATTTCCTCGTCGTGTTAAGGGTATTTTATAAAACATGAAATCAGCAAAGGTATGTATAAAAGTTATACTTTTGAAGCATGTTTTATCATTTTGAAAGGGTATATTTTTTCTTTATGGTATACACTTAAGTTTTAAAATTTTAATTGGGAAGTTTTTCTAGTAAGTTGCATGAAGGGTGAAGGGTTCCATAGATCTCTTAAGCATTGTAAAGGAAAAACCTTTACTCGACTTATTTGATGTTCTTTAACTGTTGGCAAATATGGCCAACAGTTACCTACTTGGTTACCTACAACTTAGTTCAAATCATGTTATCTTCTTCCTTTTTATTTGTTCATCTTTTTGTCTCAGTTGCGCCATCAATGCAAATGGCAGAATGATATGTTGCCATGACAACAGGATATGCCAGCCGTCCTAGCTGCCACATCAAACGACCTTGAGTTGTAGTGGTGATATAAACAACGATCTTTTTTTTTGGCCAATGTATTAAATGCAATGTTTCGGTTTTTTGTATATTGTGGACGCGCTAACCACGTCTAAAAATTCAAATAATTAAAATAGATTCATAGAACAAAAATTTCGGAAGGTGGCACCCTTCCTTTAAAGTGACCTAAAACAAATTTATACGTCTACTAAGGAAAATGCGCGTCTACTCGACGAACATCATACTAAATACTCCCAAACATCGGGTTACAGGCAAACATGCCACACTGAATCGGAAAATTGCACCCGTTACGATAGGCGGCGGAACGGGGAGAGCACCGGGGCACCGTGCCCCCCTTTGATTTTGGCATTTTAACATTAGCCCTATGGGCGTTGCATGGAAAGAATGGGACCAAAAGTCGGCAGTGCCGCCCCCCCCCCTTAATTGAAGGTGTTTTGACGCTACTGTCCGTTACCCTCCTTTATGTCCTTATATTCATCTCAGACTATACAGTATATATACATTATGCAAGGTCTCCGGCAGTTTTTATTTTATGATAACTTTTGATAGACATACCTACTTGAGCGATGAAAACACCGAGCACCTGTTCATCTGGATACGAGCGACTGATATGCAGCATAACCTTTCCCAGTCAGGACTAGGTCATGACCTTGACCTTAGGTCAAATTCTCAAATGACCTTTAAGGTCACATTTCAGTTCACTCAACGTATATCTCGACAAGAGGAACACGACGTCGGCAAAATAAGTGTCGTGCCAATTTTGGGTTAAGTCACTGCAGAAAAAAATGTGAAAACGCCACTTTCAATCTTTTGCCCTGTGGAGGCTAAGCCGTTGATCTTATGTCAAATCTCAAATGGTTATTACGTGCGCCCTCTTGCGCCAATGTGGTTGTATTGACTCCCGAGTTATGCGCCAATTCGTAAAAAAAAGTTGAAATAAGCAAAATTTGATTTTTGTCGACCGTCGTAGCCTGACCCCTAACCTAGCCTTAGCATGACCGAAGTACTTTCTACTTCATTTTTGACGCTCTTTATAATGCCATCTACCGCGTTTAACTTCGTGGCCCAGTAGCCGAGTTAGACTAGGGGTGTTCTTACACCCCGTCCCGGACCGGCGCGGCGCGGGTTATGCGACGACCAGCAAACGAAAATGCTTAGTTTTTTATGTCACGCAGTGTATTAACTCATACCAGATCAGGCAGAAAACAATATATAACCATAGAAGATACACAGCAAAACCAACCGGAGATGAGGTAAAAGCCCAGAAGTCTGTCATAGTTAAACCACCTCTTTTACGCAGACAGTGGGAACGAACACTGGCCATCGACGGACCCAGGCGCTACATACACCGACCCTAGGGGCTGTGGCATTGGCCTCAGGCGATCCAAGCCGCTGGCAGCGGTCCCAGCCGCTGTGGCTCAGGCGGTCTAAGGCGCTGCAGCGCCGGTCTTGGGCGGCCTCAGGCGTTACAGTACTCGGCATCGGCTGTGTTCGTCGCGATCCAGGACAGAGCCTCTGTGACGCGGGCGTACACGTCAGGGATGTAGGACAGGGCGCACGGCACGCCGAACGAGACGACACCAATCAGCTGGGAGCGACCGGAGACGTCGGACACCAGCGGACCGCCGCTGTCGCCATTGCAGACCGACCTGCCGCCCTCCGGGTAGCCACCGGCGCAGATCATGCTGCTCTTGAGTGTGGGGCCGTACAAGCTCTGGCAGGCGGCCTGACTCCAGACAGGCAACTGCACGAACTGCAGGGTGGTGGCCTGAGGCTCGGTGGCGCCCAGGCGACCGTAGCCGCTGGCGGTGGCCTCGGCACCGGCGTAAGTCTGGCGGATGGTCGGCAAACAGACAGGCGAGACGGTGCTGGTGAAAGTGATGGTGCGGGTCAGCTTCAGCAGCGAGAAGTCCCAGCCGCTGGTCGTAGCGCTCGTGTACAGCGGGTGTTCGATGATCTGCTGGACCGAGAAGCGCTGTTCGCCGACGTCGGAGGTGCCGATGCGCAGGTCGCCAAGCATCACCTGGATCTCGCTTGGGCTAAAGATCACGGTGCAATGGGCCGCCGTCAGCACGTAGCGGTTGTTGATGAGGCTGCCTCCGCAGAAAGTGCGTGTACTGCCGCGCAGGACGAGACCGGCCTGCCACGGGAACTGGCCACGCGCAGCGTCCTCGCCGCCCACTACACGAGCGTTCTGCCGGATGCCGCACTCGCAGCCAGAGGCAGATCTGGGTTGCGGCACCACGATTAGACAGTAGAAGCCCGAGGCGGTCACTGAAGCGTCTGTGTGGAAGTCAACGTTGAGCTGGGTGCTGCTTCTGATAGTGGGTTCCGTCCTGGTGCCGCAGTACCTTTGGCCGTTGATGGACAAGTAGTCCCAAGCGCATCTGTCATGACTCTCTAGCCTAAACGGATCGCAACTAATTGTGATGAGCTGTCCAGCGCTGCCCGTAAGCCTTAAACCGATGTCATAGTTGTTGGGATAGTTGCTCGGATGGTTCGGAGATGTCCAGAAGTAGTTCCCCGTAGCCAGAGTGATCTCGTACACGGCGCGAGCCCCGCCGGTTCTATTCACAGGAAGTGGCTCCAGGTCGTTATTCTTCTCCAAGGTCTTCATTTCAAATGGGACAGCGGGAATAGTCGTGGCATCGAAGTCGTCGGTAGGCTCGGGTTTCCTCCATTCTTCCTGGGGTTTGGCCTGGGGCTTTTCCTCAGGCTTGGCCTGGGACATTGCGTCAGGCTTGGCCTGCGGCTTGCCCAGAGCGGCGGCCGCCAGCAGGCAGCAGCAGGCGATCGCCAAACAACGCATGGTTCTGACTACAGAGGAGGACAGAGGTACCAATCGACGGCCGGACGGCCCTTTTATACCAGTCAGTCCCAGCCCAGGTGTGCCCAGCATCGTGGGCACCATGACGGTGGCTACGGGATGAGTCGGCCCTTCGACGGCCAGGGTGACCTATGCTGTCACAAACAGCGCATTGCTTTGCGCCATTTGTCACAGCCGTCCCATCAGCGCATGGCGCGATTTGCTTGTCCTTGGGTCTAGAGCGCCCACTGCAGACACATGCAGCTGTCAGAGTGATTAAGGGACATGTGTTTCAACCAGCCTCAGTTGGTTTCATTCCACATTTACACCGTGTCCCAGCCGAAACTTGTTGATGGGCACTAGACTGCTTTTGTGTTAATATTTCTGAAACGGCCAAGGCCACAGTGCAGAAATTGGTATGCATAATTACTAGCTCCAACAAACTCTCACCAAGTCACGGCTCTCAAACGCATTCAGCCCTGCATGGCTCACGAGGAGGTGAAACCTGGTCAGGTGAGAAGTCTGAGAAGTCAGGTCGGCGAAGCAGGTGAACGAAGCGCAACTCCCGTTCCTGGGCTGTGGAGTGTGGAGATGCCGCGGTGGAACTGGTACAGGGAGGAGTAGTGAAGGGGGTGAGTACCTATCTATAACACAGTGAACAGTAAAAGAAAAAGGTGGCAGAGACTCTAAAAGGAGAAGAAAATGAACACGACAGAAAACTTTCTACTGAAATCTATGTGCAGTGTGCACCTATGAATTATATATCTCATGGCGGTTGGAAAATTGTGGCCACAACATTTCCTAGCTGATAAAGCTGACAGCAAAAGCTCTCCAAGATGACTGATTTGATATAAAAAAGGCTGACATCTCAAACAGCGACTCAGCAAACAGCAACTTTAAAAAGCGACAGAAAAACAGCGGCTCGCTCAAAATAGCGACCGCGTTTAGAGCGATCTGTAGAAAAGTGACTCACATGTACATAGGTATGAGCGATTGTTTGAAACGGTGATCCGTAAAAGGGCGACTTCAGGGGAACAGCGACTATTCTAGACTAATGGAATGGTGATTGGGAAAAAAATTGTCGATTGCTTCGCGAAGTATATCTTTATGTCAGTAAAATGCATTTGTTTCGCATTAGTATTTACTAAAAATGATAGTTTAAACTTTACAAGTCAATATCGAAGTATATTTCATAACATACCTACAGGGTGTCCCGTGTCCGGATATTATTTGCCCCTCCATCAGCTCGCCGCCATAATTAATAAACAAAGAGTCCGCTGGTCATGGTTTATTTACCGATTTATCCCCTAACCTGTCCTACCCATTCCCTCATCCGCTTTGGTATTCCATAGATCAAGATGTTAGATGTCCCGAGTATCCGCGCTGATGTTCAGCCACACCTTTAACAGGCTCCTCTCAAATCCGTTTTCGTTGGGAGCTGGTTCAATCTTGCTGAGCTCCTCCTGCATGATTCCTCATTGGTTTTCGATTGGGATTAGGACAGAGGATTCGATTTTACTTCATTCCAGTGTTCACCATAACTTCAGCGCGATGCCGCTTTGTCAAAGAGTTTCTTTCGTCATAGTAGACACCACGTTCAGGTGCGAGTTACGCCTGCCAAGCACTGGCCTCTGGCGCCTCGCAAGTGTCAAGGTCAGGTGACCGGGTTACCGGTTAGGGGAAGGTGGGGTAAGACGGACCAGCTGTATGGTGCAGCACTGCAATATCGTATATAATTTCATGCGCAGAAGTGCCCTTTATTATTTAGTAGCCACGATCCCGGCTTCGTCAGATGAATGTTTAGTCAGCTGACTGTGAGACCGTTCCGTTCAGTTGTTATCGTGTGCGTGTCGGTATCGCCTGAAGCTCCGTCAAATATAGCGCGATTCTGAGCAAATCTCTGTGTTCCCGACCATCAAGATCTAAACATGGCGCGGTCGGTCGGTGTTCATTACTCGTGCTGAATTTCGCTGACATTGGTTCATAATTGTGTGATTAACGTGGATGATCTGTCCTTGCCCCAGCGCGGCCACGCGGCTCGGCGGTAGATGACAGTCGACCTAGCCACCTAGCGGCGGCCAGTGACACTACTGGGCGCGGAATCACTCGCACCTGGTCCCGACCTGCACTCAGGTGTCCGTGGCCTAGCGGTCAAAGGCGCCCGGCCTGTGCGCCGGCCGCGAGTAGTGACGCGGGTTCGAGCCCCGCCGGCCGCTGAACGTTTTGATCGCCACGACTATGGAAGACTTCACAGCTGCACTTGTCAGTCTGACGGAGCTGATTCGCCAACAAGCGGAGACTGCTAACCAGCGAGAAGAACGTCTAGCGGCAATCGTTGAAACACAGGCTGCAGCTACCTCTACTGCAGTTTCTACGAACAATCGCCGTGATGAAACCTCAGCAAATCGCCCGAAACTTCCGGCCTCAGCTACGCCAGCGCCGCGTCTATCTGGCGGCGCCAGCCTCAGGGAGTTTTCGACCTGGAAGGAACGACTCAACGGCTACAACATGCTGACCGGTGTAGACAAGCTGTCACAAAAGGAACAGCGCGCGTCTCTATACACCATCGTCGACGACGAATGGTACCGAATCATCAAGTTCGGCCTCAGCGACGTCACGGATACTTCCGACCTGGATGAAACCATCTCAGCCATGGAAAAACACCTGCGGAGTCAACGCAACGTCATCCTGGACAGGCGCGACTTCTACCGTCGCAACCAAGCAACCGACGAACCGTTTGACGACTACCTCATCGCGTTGAAGGAGATATCGGAGTTCTGCGACTTTTGCAAACACTGCACCGAAGACCGACTCCGTGATCGCCTCATCACTGGGCTGTGTGACGAAGCTGCCGTCCAAACCCTGCTGTCGGAAACAAACCTCACGCTGCAGAAGACGGTCGACATCTGCCGTGCGCGTGAAAACGCATACGCCAACGCCTCAGCACTCACCGGCGATCGCCTCCAAGCGGTGTCAGCCTACCGGCGTGGTCAACGCAGTTACAGCCGCGGCCGAGACATCTCACCACATCGAGAGCGAGACACGTCACCGTACAGACAATGCCGATTCTGCGGAGGCGAATGGCATGAACGGTTGACCATGTGTCCTGCCCGAAACCATCGATGCTCAGCATGCAACAGGCTCCACCACTTCTCATCGGTGTGCAGGAGTGGCCAGAACCAGACGACTCGCTCTGGACAGCACGGAGACGGGTCTCAGCAACAAGACCGTCAACAGCCACCGCAGAACACGCCGCCGCATAACACCCGCAACAGACGACGGGATGCATCCCCACCACCACCGCAGAACACCCGCAACAGACGACGGAGTGCATCCCCACCACCACCGCTGCGGGGATCTCAACGCCTTTTCGGCATCCGAGTTCGGGGTCTGTCGGCAAGACGGACGCCGAAAGTCGACATAGAGGTGCAGCACAACCATGGACGAGCAGTCATCTCCTGGATCCCCGACAGCGGCGCAGAGGTCTGTGCCATGGGCACCCAGCAGGCCCGGCAGATTGGCGTCGACATGACACGCCTGTCACCGCCACCAGATCGCCTGTTCGGAGCAGCTGGAGAAGAACTCGACTGCAAAGGCACGTTCCTGTGCACACTCAAACTGGGTAAAGCAACAGCATCGTCCGTCACCGTCTGCATCATCCCGACCATCACTGGCGCTCTGCTGTCATGGGATCGATGTATCGAGCTCGGTATCCTGCCGACCGACTTCCCGAAGCAGATCAGCTGCGATGGTGCGCTGCCTCATCTGAAGGACAACAGCAACATCAGCTCGACCAGCAAGTCGACCAGCAAGTCAACCGCCAACCTCATCAACAAGCTGGCGTCCTCGCGTCAAGATGCCAGTCCGTCCACACGGAACCAGGTCCAACAACCAGCAACCGCCTCTCCTACGCTGGCGCCACCGACGTATCCAGTCTGGCACCAGGAGCAAGGAGAACCATCGGAGGAGGTAAAGAACCAGCACCTGAACATGTTGAAGACCGCCTTTTCCGAGGTATTCGACGTCAATCGTCCACTTCGAGAGATGATCGGCGGACCCATGAAGATCGTGCTCAATGAAGACGCTCAGCCATACGCCGTCACCGCGCCCCGCTCCATCCCATTCGCCTGGAGGGACAAAGCCAAGGAGCAGCTGGACAAGCTACAGCGGGATGGCATCATCTCGGAAGTCACCCATCCAACAGAGTGGTGTCATCCACTGGTCGTCGTGCCGAAGAAGCCATCAGAAGACAACAACACCATCGATGTCAGGATCTGCGTCGACCTGACGATGCTGAACAAGCACGTACGTCGCGGCGCCCACCCTGCACCATCATGCCAAGACGTCATCACGAACATCAACAAGGACAGCAAGTTCTTCACCAAGCTCGATGCGAAGAATGGCTACTTTCAAGTGCCACTCGCTGAAGAAGCGAAAGATCTCACCTGCTTCATTACCCCATGGGGCAGATATCGCTTCGAGAGATGCGTCCAAGGCCTCAGCTCATCCGGAGATGAGTTCAACCGCCGAGGTGATGTCGCACTGGCCGGCATCCCCAAAACCTGCAAGGTCATCGACGACATCTTGTGTCACGACAGCACCTACTCGTCCCACCTCAGGCACGTCATCGACGTCCTGGAGCGATGTGCGAAGCACAACATCACACTCAACCCAGCGAAACTCCAGTTCGCCCAGCCAGAGGTCGAGTACTGCGGGTTCAACATCAGCAAGGACGGATACACCGTGGATCAGCGCAAGCTTCGCGCCATCTCCAACTTCCCAACGCCACAGAACCTGACAGACCTCCGCAGCTTCATGGGGCTGGTCAACCAGCTGGCCTCATTCTCAACTGAGACAGCGCATGCCGCCGGTCCGCTGCGTGGTCTACTTCAGCCCAAGAACCACTGGTGCTGGACCAGCGTCCACCAGGAAGCGTTCGAGGCAGTCAAGGCAGCTCTGCTGTCTGCACCCGTGCTGGCATTCTTCCAGACCGGTCTGCCAACAGCTCTCCACACCGACGCCACGCGTCT